CTTGTTTGTAGGGCTACAATCTATTTGGAGACCAGTGGGAAAAATAGGGAATCAAGCAGATAAAATACAAAATATTTCGCTTTCAGCATTGATTTCCAGAGCTCCAACTAGATTCCATCTCTCTGGAACGTTAGAGTGTTTCATACTTCTCTTAAGTCATATACTAACTTTGCTTATAAAATTACCCAGTTCAATTATAAGCCCCTTAGTATATAGATTGTGTTGCAGGCAACCTTGTGTCTTTATGTGTCTGGTGCAAGGTACAGATTTTGCATAAGTGATGGTATAGAAACTAAAATCCAGGAATTTCTGTGTTTCTTTGTTCAGTGTTGTTTTTATATTATCATCCTGGATAGTATTTGGACGTGTTGGGCTTGAATAGTTTTGGGGGTGGGAGGGAGGAAGGGTATTCTAGGCTGGGGAGAACATTCTAAGCAGTCCTGGGCTTGGTTTTGGACATTGGGTGTTATTTGAGAAATGTTGCAGACTGTTGAGAGCAGAGTTTTTGTGGAGGAGCAGAGCAGTTTAAGAAAAGGTTGCCTGCTTTGTAGTTACTGGATTGTGAAGAACTTCTTAATAATAAGTTTTTAAAAATTGAAAGTAATACATGCATTAAAATATCAAGGTATGTGGCCATTAAATAAGTGAATGACAGGTGAGCCCGAATCCTTTTCTTTAAGGACCCACTATGATCAATTTTTTTGTGTATCTTTTAATAAGAGGTTGTCTGTGTTTATATCAGCATTATATGCCTCAGATGAGAAGATGCTATACGTCAGGAGATGTGTCATGATGTATGTAACCATTTCCTTGTTGATTAAAATTTAGGTTATTTCGGGTCTTTTGTGGTAATCTGTGCTGGAATGAATATCCTTGTCCATTGGCCTTTACATTTTAAAATTTTTTATTAAAATTATACATGAACATAGTCAACAAAGTCAATAAGGCAAAGACATAATGGAAACATTCTTTTGCTTCATCTGTACTTCAGATACAACCTCTTTCATCTCTTAGTTCTTCATAATTTACGTCTACATTTCCAAGTGATATGTTTCTATTGCTACTTCCTGAATTTTTCCATTTTAGACATTTATTTATTTACTTTCTAACTAATAAGTTTTCTTATTATCTATTAACTTTCTACTATGGAAGATGACTATATAGAATTTGAAGTACAAAATAATTTTCAATCATTATTTTGAAGGCCAGGCATCCCTGTTATCCTTGAGATGTCTTATGCTATTCTGAGTCCTTTAAAAAAAAAATATATATATATGTATTTATGACATTTTAGTTTTATTATTTCTTAATCTCTGGAATCTCTTGGTATCCTGTCTTAAGTAGATATTTTTGGTCTTTTGAAGTTTCAGTTTTGCAAGCATCTCAGTATCTCTAAAAGATAAATTACTGGCAGGGGAATAGTTGAATTAAAAGTGGGTGCATTTAGGGGCGCTTGGGTGGCTCAGTTGGTTGAGCGACTGCCTTCGGCTCAGGTCATGATCCTAGAGTCCCTGGATCGAGTCCCGCATTGGGCTCCCTGCTCAGCAAGGAGCCTGCTTCTCCCTCTAACTCCCCCCCCATGTACTCTCTCTCTCTCATTCTCGCTCTCTCAAATAAATAAATAAATCTTTAAAAAAAAAAAAAGTGGGTGCATTTAAAATTTTGATAGATATTGTCTGGTTGTAATAGAAATTGTTTGGGGCGCCTGGGTGGCTCAGTTGGTTAAGCGACTGCCTTCGGCTCAGGTCATGATCCCAGGGTCCTGGGATCGAGTCCCGCATCGGGCTCCCTGCTCTGCGGGGAGCCTGCTTCTCCCTCTCCCACTCCCCCTGCTTGTGTTCCCTCTCTCGCTGTGTGTGTCTCTGTCAAATAAATAAATAAAATCTTTAAAAAAAAAAATTGTTTTATTCCACAGTATCTTCTCAGCTAAGCTCTAGGCATTGTCAGAAAGCCTGGCTCTGACATAGATCATTGCCACCCTCTGTATCTGAACTTTTGAGCTCTTCAGTAACATTCTTTTGACCTTGACATGACTCCTTCCCAGTCTTGGTTATAACACCCCTCTCCCTGCTCCTTCCCCTATGCTCACAGGCACATACTTCTCCGTCACTCCTCCAGTGTTGTTCCTCATCTGTTAACAGCAACAAAATATATTTTAGCTCACTAATTAGAATAATTAGTACAGTTGATCAGTTATTCATAGATATTAGAGTCATTGCTAATTACACTGTAGCATCTCATCGCTAGGGTGAAGGATCAGAACCATAGATAAAGGGTTCAGAGTCATCTTAGAAAGGAGATTTAAGTTTAGAAACAGAATCAAGGCATTGAGTAGAGTACTACCATAGAAAGCTGAAGTCTGTGGACTGCATCCTGGGTGTAAGCCTACAATTGAGAGACAGGAAAGAAGCAGTTAACGAAATGCTGAAATGGGCAGATAAATGTGCTGTAAGAAAATTAAGACTCAACAGAAGGAAAGGTTTCAGGAAAGAAGTTGAGGTCAATGTTACTTCACAGAAGGGTCAGGGAAAATGAGGCCTAAAAGTGCTTTTGGGGAGCAGTTTCAGCAGTGTTGGGAGTTAAAGCTAGGGAGGTAAGGAGATGGAGTGAACTCTGTAGAGCACTTAGGACCTTTGATTTGTAGGGAAGAGCTGGGGTTGAAGGTAGAATGAGAGGCAGGATCTAAAGAAAGTGCTTTTTTTTAGGGTGGAAGAGAGAGTACCTACCTGTGCATGTTTAGGCAGATGGAAGAAGAAAGGTGACTATAATGATGAGAATAGAACACTTTAGGAGACAGAGAAGATAAGGGATCTAGGGAGAGATCCAGCAGCACATTTTAAGAAGGAAGAGTGACTACAGGAGATCTTTTCCTCTGAGCCTGAAGGGACGGATAGCATTATGGATGAAGAGGTAGGAATGGGTGGTGAAAAGCTCACACTATTCATCTCCAGTCAGGTTAATGGGATTTCAGAGCTTGGAGATTGTTTCAAATAGCATCTATTCATTTGTTTACTCACCACAAATATGTGCCACTTTGGTAGAGATGCAAAGGTGAAGAAATTACCAGCTAAATGTATAGAGACACATTTATCTCTCTCTCTCTCTCTTTTTTTTTTTTTTTTAGAGAGCGAGCGAGCAGGGGGAGGGGCAGAGGGAGGGATAGAGAGAATCCCAAGCGGACTCTGCACTGAACCCAACGCGGAGCTTTGTCTCACGACCCTAAGATCATGACTTGAGCTGAGATCGAGTCCAACGCTTAACTGACTGGGCCACCTAGGCACTCCTATCTCCCTGTCTTTTTATAATTGTTAGTCATAGTCTGAGAATGGGCGAGGAAGGAGTGGACTGCGGGGCCTATCTGGCCTTGTAGATTGGTGTCTGTGAGTGTCTCAGAGGTCAGTGGAAATGGGGTGGTGGTGAAGGTGACTGTGAAGTAGTTAACTCTGGCCTAGGGAATCCAAGGAGCTAATGAACTGAATGGTGTTCTCTCAAGGTGGAGCGCGACCTGAAGGTGGAGGTTTGGTCAGAGTGATGGAATGAAAGAGATACAGGGAATTATTATGATGGGGGAGGTGAAACACCACCACTTCTGAGAACTTAGAGCAGAGCTTGGAATGAAGTAGAATTCAGCGCACTTGATTAGGAGATAAGAGATGAGATTTGGTAGATGAAATCATGAACAAAAATTACAGGAGGAGCATGGGCGCTGGAGCAGAGATCATCTTAACTGCCAGAATCACAAAAGTGGCTGGCACGTCACAAGTCATATTTTTATTGCTGTGATCTGTGTAGTGTGATAGAAAAATCAGATATTGTGAGTTTTAAAAAAGTAATGGGTTTTATAATGTCAGTGAGCACCATTTTTGGTATCTTGAGGATAACATTGTAGGTGTGTACTCTGTTTTTAGCATTCTTTCTGAAAGCTCAATTTCACTTTAATGTTCATATTTATTAAAATGTGCAGTGTGATACTTCTGATCTTTCAAGAAATGTGGAAAACTGTTTTTATTGATATGTGGTAATATGTACAGAGGTAATTGGATAATAATGGTGTAAATACCTAAAGGTCCTAAGGTTAGTGTAATAAACCAAGCACAAAAAAATGTTCAACCTTTGAAAGCTTTATTTTTCCTGTTTGCTCTCACTGCATTACGCCCTCTGAAAGTAATGACTTGATGTGTTTATTAATAAGTAAGTACTGTTACTTTCAGAGGGTTATCAAATGTAGCAGGTACTTTGATGGACAATAATTGTGTTTCTATCTCTCTTCCCCCAATGCCATGAATCTCATTCAGTCTGCAGAATGATGATTCCTATTTGCGGTTGCTTAAAGTACAAAACAGTCAACCAATTGTGAACTGAAAGAATGGCTGTATTTTTGACAAGGCATCAATGAAATGTAAATGGCCACTTAACAATAGCCAGAAACCAGTGTATTCCTATGGGAAATCGTGAATTCTTAGGGTCAAAGTGATCAGATGTCCTGATTTTCCTGGGTCAGCCCTGGTTTATACCTGCTTGTCCCGGTGTCCTATTCAGTTATCACGCCCCTTCACTCTCAGAAATGTTCTCATATGGATAATATATGGTCATTCTATTTTTAAGTCTTATTTTGAAATTTATGGTCTGTACTTTGAATCATTAGGTGAAGATGTATCTTAGTAGTTGAAAGAAGCAGCCAGTGGTTGTTTTTGCCTGTAAGAGTATAGAGATACTTGCACAGAGTTGCTTCTATGATTTCCCAGTATGTGCATTATAGAAAATGTTACAGTGTGTACTGAGTTTGGTAGTAGCTATTTGAGTCCAGCAGATGTGTGATGATACAGTATTTAATCAGGTAGTAACAGCCTTTCAAATAAATACATCCTTAATTTTTCTGCTTAATATCTTCTGAGAAAGAGAACTATGGTAGTGATAGGCCTTGGATTTATGAAATGTTGGGTGTAAAATGTTTATCTAACAATGACCTAAGTCTTGATTGTTTTCTTTTCTTCAAACAGCACTCATATTCTGAGGGAGCCTGTGTGTTTAGGGGGGTGTGAGCACATCTTCTGTAGGTAAGTAATTATGGCTTGATACTTAGTGTTTCTATATTTTTTACTAGGTCATCATCATGTAATCATATTAATAATAACATTATGTTTATGTAGCTCTCATAGACTGCAGATAACTTACTGTACATTCTCTCATTTTGATTCTTACAACTGTCTTAATTTGCAAATAAGAGCATCAAAACTCAAAGGGGATGACTTGTCCAAAGTAGCAAAGCTTACTAAGTAGCTCGGCTAAGCTTGGGGAGAAAAATCTATTATGTATTTGAAGTATGACTCTTTTTTTTCCTTCCAGTTAGTTTTGAGTCTAGACTTCCCAGATTATGAAAATCTAGTTCTTTCTTTTTTTTTTTTTTTTAAAGATTTTATTTATTTATTTGATAGAGAGAGACACAGCAAGAGAGGGAACACAAGCAGAGGGAGTGGGAGAGGGAGAAGCAGGCTCCCCGCTGAGTGCGGGACCCTGGGATCCTGACCTGAGCAGAAAGCAGACGCTTAACGACTGAGCCACCCAGGTGCCCCTGAAAATCTAGTTCTTATAGTTAGTGGGTTGGTTTTCTAGGGTTGCTGTAACAAAGTACCAAAGACTGGGTGCTTTAGAGTGACAGAAATTTATTGTCTCACAGTTCAGGAGGCTAGAAGTCTGAGAGCAAGGTGACAAGCAGGGCTGTGAGAAAGACTGTTCCATGATTCACTTCTACCTTCTGGTGGAGAATCTTTGTCTTCTGGCATCTTTGGCATCCCTTGGCTTGTAGATACATCATTCTGATTTGAACTTCCATGTTCACATGGCTTTCTCTCTTGTTGTGCGTATTTGTTTCTGTGTCCAAACTTCCCCTTTCTGTAAGAATGCTAGTTATATTGGATTAAGCCTCACCTCGAGGATCTCATGTTAATTTGATCATCCAGAAAGATCCTATTTCCAGATAAGATCACATTCTTAGGTATTAAGACATCAACATCTTTTTGGGGGACACAGTTCAAGCCATAACAGTTACTGTGAAGTTATATCCGTGTTCTAGTAGGAAAGTCCTGGCTTATAGATTAGAATACTAGATTTTCATCTCATTCTATTTCTTATTTTGGAGAAATAAATTCAAGGACTGAATGTCTTAGTTTAATTGTCTGAGACAGGGTTGATATAGCCTCCTTTGAGTAGTTTTTTCATGATTTCAGTTACGACTCTGTGACTGGCACGAGCCACTGCAATGTGGAGTTAAGCACATATGAAAATAATTTACTGCATGACTGCTGTGGGCTGGGATGCATGGGAAGCAATTATGCTTGGGGTTCCAATTTTCTTTCTGGAAACATGGATCTGATATATGGGACATATCTAGCTGGAGGGGCGGATAGGAAATAGTACCTGTTGCCTACCTGATAACTCCATTTGGATGAAGACAGGGAATTTCAGACTGGCCGGTTGTGCAGAGCATGTCTGTTGGCCATTCGCCCCTTCCATCGGTTGTGGCCATAAAGGGTACCGCTAATTGCAGAATTGCTCAAGGCAAAAGCCGCAAGTCATACCTGATTGCTCTTTTCTTCCTTATCACATTATTAAGTTCTGTCAGCTCCACCTCAAAATGTCCCTTGAATCTTGAATTTTCCCACTTTGCTCTGTATTTACTACTGTTTACACTTTGGTCCAAGCCACTGTCCTATTCTCTCCACAGATTGTTGTCCTAAATTTCTAACTGGTTCCCTTCCCCATTTTCTCCATTCTTACCAGTGATCTTTTAAAAATGTAAATCACATCCATATCATTACCCTCCTTAAAATCCTCTCCTCTAGTGGCGGGCGCCTGGGTGGCTCAGTTGGTTAAGCGACTGCCTTCAGCTCAGGTCATGATCCCAGGGTCCTGGGATCGAGTCCCACATCGGGCTCCCTGCTCTGCGGGGAGCCTGCTTCTCCCTCTCACTCCCCCTGCTTGTGTTCCCTCTCTCGCTGTGTCTCTCTCTGTCAAATAAATAAATAAAATCTTAAAAAAAAAAAAAATCCTCTAGTGGCTTCTATTACAGTTAGAATAAAATCCAAACTCTTCACTCTAAGGTTCAGAAGACCCTGTACAGGACCCAATTCCTACCTGCCTCTCCAACCACACTTCCCACTAGCTCACCCTGTTCTAGCCACCTTCTCCTTTTAGTTCATTAAACATACCGAATTTACTACTGCCCCAGGGCTTTTGCACTTGCTCTTTCTTCCATCTAGAATGTACTGCCAAATTTTTGTGACGCTGACTTTTCATCAGTTACATTTCAGCTCATATGTCACCTCCTCCAAAAAGCCTCCCATCATCCGCTTATGAAATGATGCCCGCTTCCTGTCCTCACTCGGTAGTAAGCAGATTTATTTTGTTTCAGCTGATGGACTCACTTTGTATAATGTATCAGTGACAAATCTGCTGGAGCAAAACCAACTCCATGAAATTGTATGTAAAGTGTGTGTCTGTGTGTGTATGTGTGTGTGTGTGGAGTGTGAGAGAGATCTATACCTTTAATTGGGTTCTAAAGGGGTCTGTGACTTAAAATGGCCAATGAAAGATTAAGAGAGGCATGAGAACATCTTAGAGAGAAAGTGGTCATCTGTATATGACATGATCACAGGAAAGAATAGATTCAGTGCAATTTTGGTTCATTTTGATTATGTGATGCCAAGAATTAGGGTAACTGTAGTCTTTGCAGGTTTGAGGCTGTGTAAAACTGTTGAGCAATGCTGTAAATACCATGCAGTTTTAAAAGATGGTTTGATATATACCAGTCTAGCTGAAGCATAGAAGTGGGGCGGGGGAGGGGGGTTGGGGGAGGGGCACAGATTTTCATGTCATTGACAGTGTTGTAGTTTCAAGGTACTTTCATGCCAATCCCTGATAAAAATAGCCCATGTATTCTTTTTAAGATAGAAATCGTTTAAGACATATGGCAGACATATGCAAACTTTTTGGCTTTGGATCATTTTACACCCTTAAAAGTTGAGGACCCCAAAGCAGTTTTATATGTGTATTCGCCATGTAAAACCGAGACATTTAAAAAATACTGTTCAGTTAAAAATAACAATAATAAACTCTTTACATAGTAACATGAGTAACACTTTTTTAAGGAAAAATGACCATAAACAAAGAAAAACGAGTGAGAAGAGTGACACTGTTAAATTTATGCAGATCTCTTTATTGTTTTGCTGAATAGGAGACAGTAGATCTCATACCTGCTTATGTAATCAATCTTTTGTGATATATTGTTTTGATTGCAGCATGTGAGGAAAATCTTGTATTATACATCTGCATAATTGGAAAAAGGAAGGATTTTTAAGTAGCCTTTTTAGGTAATTTTGGATATTCTTTGATACTACACCATTATTTGGCAAGTGCTAGTTTCTTTAGATTTATTATGGTGTGGAATCTAAAAGGATAACAATGAATTTTTGGTATTCTGTTACATTAAATTTCACTGGTTTATCCTGTGCTTTGAATGGATCTTTTACCCAGCATGATTTTCTGACATCATGCTTTGGTCATTTGGAAAATATTGACTTACTGAGTTACACAGATCTATTGAGAAATGACATCTTTCCCCAGAATTCTAGATTTATGTTTACAAAATAATTTGAGAACAGTTAAAAGATGAACATTATAGAATGTATAAAATAGACTGATCTGGGTACCAGTGTGGTGCTAGGTTAAGTGTCTTACCTGAGTCTCATTTTCTTCATCTGAAAATAAGGTAATGATTCTTGATGAGTCGATTGTGACTGTTGTCACTAATGTTCCTCAAATACTTAAGTATTACACAATAATTGATGATTTAAGTCCCTTGTGGAATCAGTTTCCCCTTTTTATATGTTGGGGTTTTAAGTTAAGGGTTCATAACTACAAGCAAAGAAACTCCCAAGAAGTTCCTTTCTTTGCTACAGAAATTTGACATTTCATGATCTCAGGGTTGTGAGATTGAGCCCGTGTTGGGCTCCTTGCTGAGCGCGGAGTCTGCTTAAGATTCTCTCTCTCCCTCTCCCTCTGCCCACCTCTGCCCCCTACCCTGCCCGCACACACTCTCTCAAAAAAAAAAAAAGAAAGGAAGAAAGAAATTTGACATTTATTGAGTATAATCTCTCCTAGCTCTACTATGGTTTACAGATTCATTTTATAACATTTATTGAGTTACTTTGCATCAGAATCATGCCAGAATCTAAGATGCAAAGAGTAGAAATGCTACAGGCTTTTTCTGGAAGAAGCTCATATTTTAAGAATCCTCTGTGCCTACAAATAGTAGGTCCCATGGAAAGGAATGTGGTGTTTGGGGGAGATCTGGCTTTCATCACTGTTAGGTTACCAGTCTTGTTGGAGTTCCTCTGGTGAGGCTAAGGGAGGAGTGGATGTTTAGGTTTCTTATTTCTGAATCCACAGATAAGCTTTGGAGGGGGGGATTATGAACCCCCCCCTTTTTTTTTTACCAGAGTTTATGTATATCTTCATCAGATTTGCAAAGGATTTGTAACCTCTAAAGTTAAGAACCCCTTCCCCCCAACTATGAAACTTTAACTTCTAGACAGATAACCTGAGGTAATTTAATTGAGTCTACAGGTTATAAAAGTGTCTGAAAGAACCAAGTGTCTTTTCTCAGAAACTACATTAAAGCCTTTAGACACTTGTCGGCAACAAAACAAAAAATACCTTTCCCGGTCTCTTCGCAGTAATTTTCCATGAAGCACAGTGTTAAGATTTAGGATACAAAAGCTTGAGATGCATGGCTGTTATGCATTTGGTACTAAATATGTTTATTTATGTCCCTCTCTGTACTCTTACCCTTTAGAAGCTATGGATTTATTTGCTTGAAAAATTATGCAGACTATAAGTCAAATCTCTTCATCTCAAATTACCTAAGCAACCTCAGATTTAGATTTTGTATGTGTGTGTATTATACTCTTTCAGAAACATTATTTTAACAAATATTTTATGTTTGCTCATTGCTTGTGAAACTTTGCTTCATTTACTTCTGTTCAAACTCTGTTTATATTTCCGAATTAAGATTCTGCTGAATGCATTGATAGATATATGTATTTTTTTCTTTTAATCTTTTTTTAAGTAATTGCGTAAGTGACTGCATTGGAACCGGATGTCCAGTGTGTTATACCCCAGCCTGGATACAAGATGTGAAGATAAATAGACAATTGGACAGCATGATCCAGCTTTGTAGTAAGCTTCGGAATTTGCTACATGATGATAAGCTTTCAGGTGAGAAATATCACTGACTCTCTTCATTAAGTAGCTGATGAATTCATATTGATCACATAAAATATGTAAACATCTATCAGGAATTCTGATGACCTATTTTAGATTTTAAGATATACAGTGTTTGCAATTATTTTGAGAAGTGACAGATAACTTAGAGATAACTTAAGGAAGCCAAGGTCCAGAGAGGTTAAATGACCTTGCCTAATTTCACATGTGTAGTTAGTACCAGAAGCAGGAGAAATAGAGCCCATTTCTTCTGAGTGTCAGTCTAGACACTTTTCACCACCTACACTGCCTGCTTTTTACAGTTACATTAATTTCTGTATAATATATATAGAAAAGAGATTTTGCCCTTAAATTCACTTAAATACACTTTTACAAGATAGAATATAACCTTCTGTGCATCACTTTTCCGGACTGAATTAATTAGATGAGCACATTTTGAAAGAACAAAAATCTAATATTCATTTTCTTTTCTATTTAAATGGGGGTTAATGTTTTTCAGATTGTTCTTAGACTCTGTGTATTAACTGTATATCTTCCCATTGTGCTTTCTGCTGAGAACTAATTAGCTGGGGAAAGAAAGTAAAGGGTTTTGAATCTTCATAATTAGATACTAGAATTATCTTTTTATTGACCAGATCATGTCATTTTGCTTATGTTTATAGGATAACCTTTTCTTGACTGGCAGGATGCTGTGAATGATTGATAATGTTTATATAAAATGGTTGAATTTTTGTTTTTAAATCTTTTGATCTTAGATTTCTGACATGATGTGTTATTGCCAGTTACTAAAGGTGAAATTGATTAGACAAAATAAAGAAACAAGGCAAATACTTTGAGTCTTATTGACCATGTCCTTTTTTTTTTTTTTAAAGATTTTATTTATTTATTCATGAGAGACAGAGAGAGAGAGAGAGAGGCAGAGGGAGAAGCAGGCTCCCTGCGGAGCAGGGAGCCCGATGCGGGACTCGATCCAGGGACTCCAGGATCATGACCTGAGCCGAAGGCAGTCGCTTAACCAACTGAGCCACCCAGGCGCCCCTGACCATGTCCATATTTTTAAGAAGAATTTAAATTACAGTCTACCTATGAAAAGTTTTTTTTCATCTGATCATTGTATTAGAGTCTATTCTTTAGGATAAAATGTGCTATAGTGATAAAGTTTTACTTATTTTCAGATGTAATTATACACACACAGTTCAAAAAGTACTTACCTTTTTGAAAAAATAATGTGTGTTGTAAATCTTTTTAAGAACACAATGAGGAAAAGTTTCATTATTAGTTCATCTTTTTTCTTTCTTACTCAAAGGTAGGGCTGGTAGTGTTTATTTTCTAATGAAAAAGATTGGTATATGATCTGCTCCTCCACATACAGATACCATTGATTAAATAGAGTCCATGCATCTTTGGCCATGTTGGGGGTGGAGGGGGAGGATTAAACTCTCTCTCTCTTTTTTTTAAGATTTTTTATTTTTAAGTAGTTTGCACACCCAATGTAGGGCTCAGACTTGCAACCCCGAGATCAAGAGTCACATGCTCCACCAACTGAGCCAGCCAGGTGCCCCTAAACTCTTGATTTAAGTGTACAATATGAAAAATGTTCATGTGTGCATGAAAGTGGCTTTCCTCAGATTCTTAAAGACGTGTGGTCTATTAGGAATGGTGGCCATGCATTGACATTTGGGGTGCTACTCTGAGAGTTCTGTCAGGATGTTTTGATTTGATTCTTCAGTTGCTGTATAGTAATATATTAGCTTGCTCAGGCTGTGGTAACAAACTGGGTGGCTTAAAAAATAAAAATTTATTATCTTACAGTTCTGGAGTCTAGGAGTTTTACATTGAGGTGTTGGTTCAGTTGGTGCTTTCAAGGTCTGTGAGGGAAAGATGTCTGTGAGGGAAGGGCCTCTCTGCTTGGTTTGTCTTTGTGTCCACTTGGTGTTCTGCCTGTATGCGTATTTGTGGCAAATTTCCTCTTTTTGTAAGGATGCCAGTCATATTGCATTATTGAGTCCCACTCTACTCATTTTTACCAATTATATCAGTAATGACCCTGTTTCCAAAAATAAGGTCACATCCGGAGGTGCTGGGAGTAGGACTTGGATTTATGAGTTTGTGAGGAACACAGTTTAGCCCATGACAAGTAATGGATATTTTTTTTAAGTGACATTTTTAATGCTGATAAAAAGGGAATAGGGTAACTCTTGATGGGTAGTGAATTATGGCATAATGGGGTACTGGTATGGTACTTGAGAGAAGAGAAGAGAAGAATAAGCAGGGAACTTCTCTAGAAATTTTACTGTGGTTGGTGATATTTGAGTCTTTAGTATGGTTTTCATATTTTGTGGACTCTGAAATGCCTCCACATTTCATCATTACTAAAGATATTGTGGAAAATCATTGAATTTAGAACAAGTTTTTGTATGGGGCCTGAGGCCTTTTAGAATGCCATCTTTCTCATCTAAAAATAGATGTGGAGTTTGGGGAGGGGATTATGGTGATTTATTTTTCGAAAGCCATTTTGTGTTCATCTTCCTTATTATAGTGAGTAATAACTACTTTGGCCTTACCAAACTTTAGTAGTGCTGGCTTCAACCTTACTTACTTTAAAAAGAATTGAAATTTCAGTTTGGATAACATATAATCAGAATTTTAGGAGCAGGAAGGTCATCTTGAGTCCCTTATTCTGTGGGTGAGGAAATCTAGGACTTAGGTTATGCAGGGAGGTCACACTGTAAGTTTCTTGTTTACTGTTTTATCATTTAGCTCAAAGCTTTCATGAGGAGTGTAGGTGTTCATTATATTTTTTGAATTGGAGACAGATTGGAAGTGCTAAGGCTTAATTCATATCCCAAAGACTAAGCTTAATTAAAGCAATTTTAAAACAAATTCTTAGGTTTTGGTTTCAACAATTCATTTTATAATGGTAACATCCTCCTTTGCTCCTTTTATAGAAGATGGTAAATCTAGAGAATAAGCATATTGAAATAAAAATATCTGTCCAGATCTGTAAATTACATGGTGCAGAGCCTTTTCTGCTTATCAGTTGCATTGTCATCAACTTTTCCTCCTGAGGGCCCCAAAACAAACTAGCCTCAAAGGGCATTTGAGTTGGAGAGTATTGTTCTTTGTTTCTTTATAGTGTATTCAACATTTTATGTAGTAATTCATGTTGATTTATATAGCAAGTACTCCTAAAACTAAAGTGGTATAAGGTGTACTCGGTGAATAGGTACAGGGAACAAACAGTTGGGGACAAATAATGGTTTGTCCTCTTTATAATGAGGAAATTGGAAATGGGTCTCATAAAATAAGGGTATTCAATTAAGTTATCCCTAAGGTCTAGCTTGAAAATCATATGGTTCTGTTAAATGGGTGTTGAGGATGATGATTTAAGCAGGATGGTTGGCTATCTCCTACATCTCTATTTTTTTAAACCCTGTAGTTCACAATTTATCTTTCAAATGAACCTTGTTACTTGCATTTACTATAAAATATATAATTACCATAATTAAGGTGGGTAATTAGGAAGAGCTTGTCAAATCATGAACATGGTACATGGTATACTGGAGATAAAGAAGCCTGATTTATAGAAATACTTTTTAAAATGAGCTTCCAAATACTCGAACAGATTTTCCTCGGTTCAGTGTACTTTAAAGAGAAAAGATTGTCTGTCGCAAATTTTTCTGACAACCATTTACGGATAATTTTACCTTATTCTTTATAACATAATCTGCTTTCTACTAATAGAGTCAAATTTAAAAGTTTGTATTTTATATTGCTTCCCATCCTATTAAATCTGACTTGGCAGGTGCTGGTCAGGCTCTTTGAGGAATGTGTTGGTGGTGGTGGGACAGTTAAAAACAAAAGCACTTTGATGGTGCTTTCATTGGATCACAGTTTCCTTTTCTGTTTTCTGGTTTCCGGAGAGAGGCTTGTCTTTCTGGAGTGAATTACATAGTGTTTCATATATGTTATGACTTTTTTATAATAGATGAAGATGAACATTTGAATAGCTGTGTTGCTGTTTTTTTTTTTTTAAATGGAACTGAGTACTTCTTACAAACTAATCATTCTTCAATAAAGGCGTTAATGTTGCACAGATGGTAGCAAAGTACTTTGATTTTTAATAAGGCACTAGTTTGTCAAAGAGATTTCTCAACTTCTGTTGTGAAACCTATAATAGAATAATTTGAAAGGCACACAATGTACATAATTATAATCCTTTGATGTAGATTAATGATAGCTAAATCACATTTTCTAATTGCCTCCTTCTATAGTTTATTATTAAATTTTAAGAAAAAACTTGGCTAAGCTGCTCCTTAGCAACATGTGCATCTCTGTTTCTCGATATTTTGTGGTTTTCTCAGAAATATTTATATTCAGAGAATAGAATTTTTTAAAATGTCATCATTAAGAAATTTACTGTGTAGAGGAAGGACCAGTATTTTTCTTCATGAAAAGAATATGACAATTTATTGTGCTTCGAAGCATTCACTCATAAAAATTGTTGTAGCTGTTAATAATATGATTTGTGTTCCAGCAGGGGTGGTGCTTTTGCTTTTTACAGTCTTAACTTAGATAACTGTAAAATCCAGGATTTACAATCACATTTGCTGTTGTGGTCCTTGCTTAGTTACGACAAGAAGCGCAATTTCAAAAGCAAGTCATTTCTGATATAGTCTCAAATCTAGAGAAAAGGTCAACATGAAATCTTCCTGAGCGTATGCATTGTTACTGGATGATTAGTAAATTATTGTGTACATATAAATTACATGAACATATGCTCTTTTCATTCACTTCTTTATAAGTTAAGGGGTAGGTACACCCGAATATGAAATTGTTGTCTTAAATTTTAGATTTAGATTTTTTAGTCAGTTGTGTTGCTGCTACTTTAATTTTCCCTTAAGTGCCTAATTCGACATTTTGTAAATTTTTTTAAGTATTAAGGACTTCAGCATTTGACTTGTGTTTAATTGAAAATGTCATCATCTAGCTTT